GGGAGCGTGAGGTGTCGGGCAAGGTCGGTGCTGTCAAACTGGTTTCTGGCTTTTCCTTGTTCTTGAGCATAACACTCATCCTGGGCGCTCGTGCTGCACAGAGCGTTTCGTGCGCTCATTGTATGGTGGAGGGTGAGGGAGGGTTTTGTGCAGCTGCTGACGTCCCCGTGCCTTCGCATTCGAGGGATGGTGGACCCCGCGTAGAGCGATGGCCGCTGACAATGGGGGAAGTGTTCTTCTGATGTGCTCCAAGCTCCCTTGACTCCTGTGGTCCTGTGTTAGATGAATTTGAGTGCAGTTTGCCAGTACCTGGTAAGCGAACGTGGTGCATGCACCTATCTCTGCATCTAGGTGTGGTGGGCTGGGAGTTGTATGGCAGCGCAGGCGGCGAGGACGAAATACTCTTCGCTTAGTGCATCTCGTCCTTGACTGCCTTGGCTGCTGCGTCCTTGCGCTATCATCAACATCAGAAAGCATGTATTTCGACTCCTCATGTGCGATTGGTAACAGGTGGAGTCCCAAAAGGAAAGTTTGGGGGTTTCAGGCCTTACTAACACAGTTTGAGGCAGAGTTTGCTCACAGGCGTTACCCTTCCTACATGCGGCGCAGCGTTACAGCTGCTAATCTGTTGAAGTGCTCGCACAGAGGAAGCTGTTATGTAGGGCACACCCCCACTCCCCCTGAGTTGCACAAATCACACGCTCTGGGCTGGCGCTTCGGCCAAAAAGAACATCAAGTCGGCTGTACAATAAGGCCGCACTACTACAACATCCTTACCTACAAGACAGACGCCTACACTAAGGTGCTGCCCGGCTGGGCCCCTACGCGCTTGCCGGCCTCCCCAGCTGCCCCGTCACTAGCCCCAGGACTAGTTGCAGGCACACGTGAGCCAAGCGGCATCTGCGAGCTACGGCCAGGGTTCAGGAAGCGCACGGGTGAGCGAGAGGAATGCTGGAGGGCTCACAGCTCACGGGTCCGGGAATGAGGAGGCCTCTCCAACGTCGAGAGGCACGAGGCGGAGAACCGCTCTCGCGTTCTCACGCTGCAATGTGATAGCGAGGTTTTGAAGCAGTCTGTCAGTCTCAGCCGAGGGTGTGTCGCCTGAGCGCGTCCAGCGATGCAAAACGGGGACTTGAAACTCAACATCTCTTTGAATCTGCAGCCTGAAGAACTCCAGCTGCAGAATGCTCATGATTCTGGCTGCAAAGCTCAGGAAGCTATGAATCCCTATCGAGGTCACCTGAGGCTAAGTCACAACCATGAATCACTTGACGAAATAGAATGCCTGGAAAGGTTTGGATGCTGGTGGACCGGTTCGCTGGTCCTCCGCTACACTGGTTGGCCGACGCTCTGGCAAAATAAGCATGGTGCTGAAGAGAGAGCGGCAAAGAAAACGGAAACTCGCTCAGCCTGCTCTCTCAGCTCTGGCCCGAGGCACCAGAGACAAGCGGATGAAACTTCTTCTGCTTCGAAATTCGATTCTTTGCCCGAGCAATATCCTCGAACGAGATCATAAGCACTTGCTCAACGTGCCTACGCGGAACACTGCACATGGGAGGAGAGGTGCTGACAGGGTGCGTCTCCAGGTAACGTTGCTGTCAATTTGAGATTCTTCGTCTCTCTTGTCTGGCTAACATTTCACAAGACTGCCTTCCATTAACGCACAACACCAATCACGAAGAAAAAAGAGCTACTTCCAGCATCCCCACCCCATAGGTTAGTAAATGGAGTTGTCCAGTATTGGGGGTTGTTGACCGATTCTGGTTTAATCGTACTCAGCCTGTCTCCCAGGACATAAAAGTGTAGATGTTAATAATCATAAGTGTTATATGATTTTCTTCGAGCATCCCCACCCTAAAGCCGTTACTGCACAAAGAAATGTAACGTTTCCTGGAGGATTGGGGATACTCTGCGGTTAGGCACTGCAGGGATACTCTGCCGTTGGGGACTGCAGGGATACTCTGCGGTTGGGCACTGCAGGAATACAGTGCCATTGAACAGGCCGAGGACAACATAGACTTTAAATTCTAACAACCCCAGTGCGAGGGGGGAATAAGGTCCCCTTCAAGGCGTTACAGGGCCTTTGCAGGGCGGTTTAAAGGGGTCCCTTTGAAGGGGTTATAATCCCTACGCGGTCTCTTTTCACGAGGTCAGAAGGGCTATTTAGGGCGCTTTGGAGGTGTTGTAAGGCCTACATACAGCCTTTACAAGTTTACGAAGGCTTTGTAGGTCCTTTACTATGAGGAGGACGTAGCATACTTTACAGGCCTACATAGGGTTTTCGTAAAGTGGTGCTAAGGGCTGTACAGGGCCCCTTACAAAGGTTGTAGGGGTGTTGTAGGGATATGGTGGGGTTGGGCAGGCATACCCTGCCGCTGGGCACTATTCCTGTCCGAAGAGTCCGCAGCCCTGCCTTTCTTACATTCCATTCTTCCTCGCATTATTTGTATTGCTCTTCTTCTGATGGCTATGTTGTTACTCACCTTGATTATTACAGTGACTGTCATGTTGTTTATCATCGTTGCTTAGTTGTTACAATGCGCTCCCCTGTCGCTCCACTCCCAACTCTGTCACCTCCATCTCAAGTCAAAACGCGCCTGGCGCTCCATCATCTCCTTCTCAAAGGTTGCGTCGCTGAGCTGCTTGTCAAGTTGGGCACAACTGGCCTGCGTGGCAAAAACGAAAGTCCTTCCTACTGCTCAAAGAGACAAGGTACTGCCCGCGGGCATGAAGCAGCAAAATTCCGGTCGCCTGCCTGTCTAACTCTCGCCACTATCAGTCACTAGCGGCAAGCTCGCATACGCACCGAACAAAATCGTTCACATCATCTGTGTGGCGTGCTTGTTTGCCACAAGAAGTTTTTAGCACTGATCTCAGGCCATCCACGAGAGTTATGCAGCCTCCACTGCCAAGTAGGACCCAACTGTTCCTGAAAGGTGTACCGTAGATTCATGCCAGATGTGCAGCTGGGTGCTGCTGCTGCTGCCGCCGCCGCCGCCGCCGTCTCCCGCATCAAGCACGAAGGCACTACATAGGTCACCCTCAAGGGACAAGGATGCTGGTGGTAAGTAGCAGCACTGCGAGGCTGTCGCAAAACACGCTGGGCCTCAACAGCCTCCACCCGCTTCTCCACCTGGTGTACAAGAAGCCCCTTTCTTTAAAGGTCCGTTGGGCATCCGGGCTCGTTGGCACCTCGCGCAGCTGCAGTTTGGCAGCGTCCGTGGTGGCCTGTGCCGCCTTCACCTTTTCCATCAGCGGGGCCACCTGCCAACACTTTGCCAAATCTCTGCACCTCATCCGGAAACCCTCGCCTTAGTGTAGATCTTGTTGTACGTCACGATGTTCACGACCTGCACTCCGCGAACTACCCTGCATGCTTTGCACCGGCCTCCAGCACAAAGGCGGCCACCCAGTTGGTGAGGTAGGCTGCCTGGGTTAAGACGAGGTGGGGGGTTTGCTTGGTGCGTTTGCTTGGGCGCTTCGTGTTGTTTTGCTTGCAACATGTTGTCCGCTGACAAGGGCGGAAGACAGGCCAGGCACATCTTTTTTCATCTTCAAGGTGCCATTCCTCCCTCTTACACTCTACCCTTCCTACGCCTTCCTACCTACCCCGCCCTACTCGGCCGACCCTGCCCCTACTCTAACCCCACCAATGCAGCTTGAGATCCAGCAAAAACGAAACTTTATCCAAAAACAAGAAACGCATCTTGGCCTTCTGGTTGCCCCCTTTCCCCAACAAGAACCCCTCAAAATGGCGATCAAGGTGCTCCCGAAATTACGTACCTCAAAAACATCGCCTGGCGTGACAACCCCAGAGACACTCCCCTTTACAGTCTGAGCCCAAATCATGCCGTTTCAGACGGCTTCTACCCGCCAAACCCTTCCGTAGAGATTGGCCCGAGCGTGAACTACCTCACTAAGTGTACGGTAGACAAGCGAGCGGGCGTGTGTCTTTTTCCATTCTACTACGCGCACTCGATTATTATCTCCCTAAAACCTTGAGAGCGGCAACAGCAACATGCAATGAAGTTGTGTCACATGAATTGTACATGGACTGATAGCAAAGCAGCAGGACTGAAGTTATTTCACCCCAACCCCCCACCCCCTAGCCCCCCCAAAAACAGCCCGTTTTCAAAATCAGCAAAATCGCAAAATGCGCTGTAAAACGCGGGTCACGCGCAGAAAACAGCTTTCCAAATCAAAGTGGCGCCGCTCCCCCATGTTTTCTCATTTCTCAATGCCGCCAAGTGCACTGTAAAACCATGGTGAAGTGAAGAAAAGCGCAGCCTCAAACGTACGATGTATTCTTACTAGTAGTAGTAGTAGTAGTAGTAGTAGTGGCAGTTGTAATAGTATTAATAATAATGATATAGAAAATTCAAATAATAGCGGCAGCCCCCGCCCCCTAGGTTGTTTGTATTGCGCTATCAACCATGGGCTGGGATCAGGGGAGGGGTGGGGGGCTTGTTCCGTACAAGCAGAGCGCATCCTCTAACCAACAATGCTCCCTAAGCTTCAAAATTTATCTCACACAAGTTTCACTCATTCTACATGTTTTGTCTTATAAGAAACGAGTTTTTCACGTTGTGCTTAAGTGCGCAGCTAGCTTGGAAGGTTCGCGCGGGGACACATTGGACATGAAAATGCCCGATGCAAGAGGACCTACTGCTTGGATACTGCCTCTACTCATTAACAGCTGCAGATTATGTTTTGAATGTAACGATATATAAATCCCCTACAATATGGCTCCTAAAAGTGGGGGCAAGACCCAAACCACTAGGTCAATTACTACCACTACCACTGCCACTAGCCACCTTGTCGGGGAATCATATTGAGACCTCATAATCAATGTTAAGCCAAACGTGGTGTCTGGGGGGGCTACTAGTAGTAGTCGTCGTCATAGTTGTAGTAGCAGCAGTAGCGGGGGGCGGTGGCGGGGGTGGTGGGGGTGGCGGTGCTCGTGCCGGTGGAATTGCAGTGTCATTGATTAGAAAGCTGAGGCCCACGGAGGGCACACACGGGGGCAGTTTCCGAATCTGGCGGGGCCCTCGCGGTGCTTGTCGTAGCATATGAACTATGGCGCTACAGCCTCACAATATAAGCGTGCTGGATCTTCGCTGGTGCAGGTTGCCCTGTTCAAGACTCGGCTGCATCAGCGAGTGGAGGATCGCGAGGCCAGGAAACTTGAGCAGGGGACGCCAGTCACTGGCCAACGTCTTCCGCTAGGCCAACTTGGAGCTGCTGCGCTCTGACTCACCAGCAGAGGCGAGATTTAGTTTGGGAAACTGGGAGGTGAGGGGGGGGGTCTGACTTTGAAGTTTGTTGGACTTGCTTCAGGCCAGTACTGCCAGCACCGAGGGCTCTGAGCACGCGGCCGATACGTCAAGCTCACGGGGAGGAAGCGCCGAGCGTGACCCAGTGCGCCAGCATGTTGAGTTTTTGCTCTGCGCGCTGTGCTCGTTTCATGGATTCTTCTTGCCTCAGGGGAGAGACCCCACCCTGGTGGCGATGGCCGGGATCAGAATCCTAAAAACATAAGCTAGGACCCTCCTTGTACCTTGAATTGGGGATGTATGGTCCTAATAGTGGGTACTTAGGCCCTAATAGAGGGTAGGAGGAGGGTCATAAAATCATCAGGTTTCCTCCCGTGTCATGTTTCGTTCCCTTTTTGCAGAGGCTGGCGCCAATGCGCAGCACTTTGTCCCCGAAAAGCTACCTTGGCAGGCGCATTTTTTGAAATCTGTTTAGAGGTTTTAGGGGGTTTAGGGTTTAGGGTTTTAGCGTTTTAGGGGTTTAGGCTTTTAGGGGTTTAGGGGTTAGGGCTAGGGTTTTGCATCCCTGAAGCAGAGCCTCTTCCGAGAGCAAAGGGAGCTGATGTCTTTTGCTGTTCTCCTACTGGCCAAGACAAAGATGAGCTTTGCAACACTGGGCAGGGTACAAGAATCTGTGGCTTCTTCTTGTTGTAGGATCCACATGTGACAGTCTAAGATGCAATGACAGGTATAGGACAAGCCTGTGCTGGTTGCACCGCCTCGTTCAAGACGAACGGCTTGAGAGAGCTGCTACTTCAGCAAAGCACTTGTGCAAGTTTGCAGGGAGTTTTGGAAGTTTTGGGCAGAGCCCTGTGAAGGTGCTCCGCAACATCACGCGTGTGCTGCAGCTGTGCTGGCTGTGGTGCTCGCCTTAGACTTTGATCCTGCTTTTGGTTGGACACCTTCGGCAAAAAGGTCGGGGCTTATGGCCTTGCTGAAGGAGGCAAGATAACGCGATGACAGGGAGAGTTTATGGGAATGTGTATCCCCTGATGTCTGGGGCTCTGCGGAGGTCCACGTCTATCAGGTGGACTTCCAGCAACATCCCGCCCATGAGCGAAGGTGGCCCCCTCTTAAACTGTAGGTAGATTGAGGTTTCGAGGTTTCTTGTAAGCGGGACTAAAGCACTTGATATAGGGCAGAAGAAGTTTCTGCGGACTTAGCGCAGGTTGGATCAGACAAAGAGCCCAGGCCCCGGTGGAAGATGCTTCCGACGGGGTTTGTCAGTGCGTCTGAGTAGCCATTGTCCCACCAAGTCTGGAGCTTTGAAAGCATGGAGGTGGCGTGAAGCTTATACATGCGAAGCAAGGCTACGAGAGTCCGAGAGCCCATGTCTTCCGTTTTGCTTCCCTGTAGCCGAGGACTGGCCTCATGGAAGCTTCTTCCGGGCACAGGTCAGTGTGCTACTATCAGGGGATCCCTAACATTGATCCTAAACCCTTAATCGTAGTTTCCATTTTATCTTCAATGATCCCTACATAACCCCTATATAACCCTACCAGTAGTACCTAGTACTTATGCCTTATCTGCTATGTTGCGAGTTTTATCCATCCCTGCTTCTGCTCAGGGCCTTCTCTGCCCTTCCAAAGGCCCTTTCCACGTGGCGAGCCCCTTTGCCTGGAGCCTAGAGGTCTAGGAGCAATGCAAAGGAGGGCTTGTGCCCAAATAAGAATCAGGCACAAATCATCTAATATGAATGATAGCTACAGTCATAACAAAAACAGGCCAGACAAAATCCCTCCCTGCGACGCTTCCAGGTCCTCTACGCAGCTGAAGCAGAGGACCGCAAGATCACGCGACTCGAGGAGGCGCGGCCTATAGTTTCCATTATATTCTTCCGTTATCCCAATGTTTTACCCTAAGACCTAAACCCCCGGGGTTGTGGTTGATGTGTTTTTTGTGTGTTTTTGTAAAATGTCTCTGCGAGGTCTGGCGCGGCCGGCTCCCAGCTGTGACCGCCGCCTGCGCCGGGAGCGCCGGGGGCGCTTCCCGCGCTTCCCAGGGCTTCTCGGAGTGTCTACTCCTGGCACCCAGGGAGGCGTCCATCTCAGCTGATGCGAGTCTGCGACTCCGCTAGTCTTCTGTAGGACCATATCGAAGTTTGGCACCCCGGTCGTCCGCGCGTAGCGCTGACCCTGCCAGATCAATCGCAACTTGGCTTAGCCCCTCCACAGAAGCATCTTGTGATAAGCCTCACGCCTCAAGCTTCTCTTGTTTTTGAGCTTCTTTGCCCCAGGCCATGGTTACGGGTGGCTGGCACCATCCTGCCGTGTGGGCAGGCACGGGGCAGCTATGCAGCTACCCTTTTTGTGTCTTCATGTTTCTCGTGTTGAAAGGTGGCAGCCTTGCTGCCCGAAGAGGTGCTTCAACAGTTGCAGGGAATTGATTTGATTCTTCTTCTTCTTATTAATATGGTAGCTTCCCATAATGAGGGCCCCAATATAAACCCCAATAAATTATACTCATTTTAGGGACCCCCGAAATAGTACCCCTAATTTTGGGAACCCCCATTAATAGTTATTATTGCCTTTGTTAATTGATTCTTCTTCGTGGTTCATCTGATAGATTCGATTTTCAGGCTGCGTCCAGCTGGTGCCTGCTCCTCGCAGGCAGAAGCATCTGGGAAGCATGTGGGTAGCTGTCAAAATTAGGGTCCCTTTTTTGGGTACCCAACATATTGGGTGCCGTATTGTAATAGGGATCCAAAAGCGCCATAATTTTGACAACCACCCATGTGCAGCATGTCTGCGGGGCGTGCGAAAGTTGCCTTGCGAAAGTTGCCTGTGGCCGAAAGCTAGGTTGGGACGGCCGCATGCTCCCAGTAGCAGCCCTTCCGCTGATTGGCGCAGGGCTCACAAGTTGCAAAGGTTGCATCCCTTGCCCCCCCCAAAAATCAAGCTGGTCTGCGAATCAACGCGAGTCTGTGTGCAAGGTGAGCCAGGAGAGCCCGGGGAGCCCTGGGACAGAAGTGTGCAGCCAGGCACCGCCTGCTGCATTCTGCATTCTGCGGCTTTGCAGCTTGGCTTTCTTCCTCGTGTCCCTTTTTGCCAAGGCTTGGACGCTCCTCTGCAGGACCCTTCCAAGGCCAAGACATCTCACCGAATCTCCATCCAGCCATGCGCTTCGGCTCCAGGCCGTGGTGGCCCTGCACGTGGAGCCGCTTGGGACCGAGGGGAAGAAAAAGCCCGCTCGCTCTTCGCTCTCCTCTCCTTCTTTCTAAAAGAAAACAGACTGCTAACCGAGTGAGTTGTTTCGTCGTTTTTTTTTTGAACTTCAGGAGCGGCGTGCTCTGGGCCCTGCTGGGCACGGGAGACGTGCAGGTCGTTCGCATCCCTTTATCAGAATGATTTTGAACCTCTACATTCTGCTTGTTTGTTTATGTAGTCATTTACTCTCTATATATACACGCGCATACCTATTTTATAAACAGGCTACCACACCACATAATGAAACAGCATCATATTACATGATATGATCTGGCAATACATTGTATTTTGCTGTGTATATTATATGTTCTATATTTCCATAGCCTTGCAATTTGCGGGAATTACTTGAAATATTGTAGAGATATGGAATTTGTTAAATGCATCCCATTAGCAGCGAGGCATGGGACCTCTTGGCTTCGCGCAGCTTGGGCTCTTGGAGGCAGAGAGCGGAAGAAGAAACTTTGGCGGATCCTTTGGGATTCTTGAAGAACTCCAGGGTGCTAGATTCTATAGGTTTAGAGACATTTCTGCGATATGGTGACGTCTTGCAATCTCTTTCCCTTTGCATTTTTTTCCACAGGACGCAGTGGCCTTCCAGCCAGGGACTCTCTGCGCTTAGAGAAATCTCTCCTCACAGCTGCGCTTGGTCTGCTTTGAAGCTGCTGTTGCTTTTCTCTGCTGTTCCTTGAGGTTTCCAGCCGGTGGCCATGTGCAAGGCACTTGCAGATGGCACGGTTCCGGTGCGTTTTGGTGCGTTTCCCTTGGCCTTCCTGAGAGGACTCCAGCCTGGGATTCCTGGTGCTTGGACACAATGTGACAGGAGGTGCTTTGCTGCCTTTTCCCTTTTGCCTTTGCCTCATGCCTGCACTCGAAGACCTTCAGGCGGCGCCATTATTTCAAAAGCGCCGCAGCCATCAGATGTTTAGCCTGCCCGGCTTGTGCCATAGAAGTTGTCTCACCTTCGTTTCTTTTCAACATACGGTTCTCAGTTGATGCCCAAAGTATCGGCAAGGCTGATGCAACCGTGGCCCATGCTTTGCCACGAGTTCTGCGTTTGTCTCACGCACAGGACAGCGCGTCCGCCGCAGACAATGCTTGACCTGAGCCATAGGCTTGCAAGTCCCATCTTTCACGATACCAAAGCTGTTGAACAGATTGAGCAGGTAGCTGCTTCTCTGGTGTTCTGACGCGTGTTGGCTCAGAAAAGAGGTGAGTGGTGGGTGCGTGATGCGGCCATGGTGCAGCTCTAAGTCGCCGAACTGAGAAACTCATCCTATACGTAGACTTCAATCCGAGGCCACCTCAATGTGAAGCCTTGACTTTACGCGCGATGCTCAGACTCCTCTGTGAAGTTTGAAGCAGGCGCGTGGTAATTTTAAGCAGAAAATTCGAACCAGGCGAAGGGAGTGGCCTCTGAGCCACAGAGCTTGTGCAAGCAACGGGGGCCTCCTTCGTTTGTCGGTGGGCTCCTGAGTTAAGGCTCCCTTCCACTGAAGACCTTCCATGAATCTTCCTCCTAAACAAATTTCACTACAAAAACACCTAGTATCTAGTACTATCTTATGATGGTGGTATGACGCAACGAATCTCCCGTAGTCTCAAGAGAAGTGGGGGTTGTTTTTTCAGCATGTCCAGGTGCAACCGCTCATCTCGACGGCATAGTCAGACCGAGGCACTGGAGCCAAGTGCTCCCTCCTACCTTGGCCAGTGGAGCCAAGGGAGCAATCCTAGATCTAGATCCCAAGCTGCCAAAGCTGCCAGAACTGGGCCAAAATGCCTGAGGTTTCTTAAGGGTTCTGAGCTAAGAGCGTAAACATGCTCTCTGACATGCCAGGCGACAGAGGTCCCGTCATGTGAGCGCGCGTGCAGCTCCCAATTGCTGAACTTCAGATGAGTAGTATTTTATTTTTGGATACTATCGTACCCAATATAGAGTAAGATTATATCCTCCTTTTGGGGCATAGTATTTTATATAAGGAAGGCAATCTTACTAGGTTCAGCCACCCAAAAAAAACACTACTCAGATGTGCCTATGCATCATGTACTGGTTAATTCCCTAGCGCTTTAGCACTTGCGTCTTTCCGCTCTTGGGCCGGGACGCCAGGCGGGAGAACGGCTCGCCCGCCCCTCTCCGGGCACGCTTGGAAGTGCAGCTCTCACGCTTTGCCCCGTCTAAGCCAAGATGCTTGGAATGGTGCTGGGACCCTATACTCCCCGCAATACTTACATATATCCATCTATATACATATGTATATATATATATATATAGGTTTTTAAAAACCCAGGCTCCCCAGAGACACCTCTGCATGTGTGTATATATATATATACACATGGTGAGCACATTGTCTGTAAACTCTAGGGTCCCCAGGGGCCCATTTTCAGAATCCTGCTAGGTGGATGCTGAAGAAGGTACTGCTGACAAGAGGCCTGGCCACAGCGACAGCGGTCCAGTTTTGCGCCCTGTTTTGATGCTGATCACAGCATGTTGTGGCCTGGCTAGATTATCTTACCACTTGCACCGTCGTTGTTATGGGTGTGCTCTTAACAGTTTCCATTTTGCCACGAATGCCCTTGTTTTCCAGGGCAGAAGCACGAAAGCCGCAGGCCCCGCAGGTGCCTTTGCTTTGCAACGAAGTTTTGCCTGTGCCTTTTTGGCTTGAGCTGGGATCTCGGGTTTGTGGAAAAGTGAAATTAAAATTTCATTCAGACCAAGAGCTCGGGCTAGCGTCTGCTGAGCCCAAAAGGAAGCTGTGTGTGAGAATGGCTGAGTTTAGCAGACTCCGGTTGGTTGTTCAGCAGTGCTTGATGATCAGAAGTTCCTTCGCTTGACAGCCGGCCCAGACCCTGCAGAGGTGTGCAACTTCACGGCCTGCCAAAGACAGTCTAGGTCCGCTTCAGCATGCACATAGGTTCCGCAGACGTTCACAGATCTTTCATTGCAGTGCTTTGGCAAAACAATGTCTCCCTGCTGCCAGTGCGAACTTCGCACTGGTGGCGGAGCTTGCGGCGTGGCTACCGGCGGCTCTGGCGGCGCCTTCAAGCCTGATGAAGGAGTACAGGCGACGCGCAGAGCAATCTGGAAGGCAGCGGGCGCGATGAGGAGAAGGAACGCCAAGAAGAAAGCTCGATTTGATCTTCGATTTGTTCACGGTCTCCATGGCCAGGCTTGGAAGGAGTGCGAGGAGCTAGTGTTGTCACCAGAGAAGCTCAAGGAGCCAGAGGGGTACAAATACATCTTCGCAGCTTCGGCAGGGGATAGAGAAAGTCGGGGTGATCAACCGCGCCGAGGCCTTTGAGACCTACGTTGATCACTGCCAGAAACGCCGCGGACAGACAGTGGACAGCTTTCTTCGGCAGCGTCGCCAGGCCTGGGCAGAGCTGGAGGACGTGGCAGACGGAGTGAAGATGAGCGATGATTTGCAAGCCCACTTCCTCCTGAAGCACGTCAACCTGGGAAAGGAAGATCGGCGACAGACACTGCTCGCAAACCAGTCGAACTACAGCGTTGAGGGAATTGGGCGTCCGTGTATCGTACTATGATGTGCATGAGCGGGAGCGCCGGTCTTTTCCTTAACCTGGGCCAGCCGGAGGCTACGCTCACGTGGCCGAGGCCAGCAGCGAGGGCACCACGGACGACGGCTACGCGCACAAGGCCTATCCCGATCACCCCAGTGTTCCAGAACCACACGGACGACGGCTACGCGCAGGAAGCAGGTGCCTCCGAGTTCCACGCGGATATGGCCCAGTCGGACCAAGGAGCGATGAGATCTTTCAGGACTATTCAAGCTACCAAGAAAGCAGGAAGAAGCTCAAGAACCGTGGATTCAAACCCCGCGAGCCCGGAGCTGCGACAAGCAGTCGCGCAGCAGAAGGACAGGAGCGATGACGCCAGCCAAGACGACATGGGCCAGGACAGCAGCCTTTCCCGCTTGGGCGAGACGCGCAAGGCCTGCAGCTACGCTGGCGGCTCGACAAGTGAATGGGAAGAAGTCCCTCCGCCTCCGTTTCCCAGCAGCAGTGGTGGCTACAACGACTTCCGTCACGGCTTCGACGGCCACCAGGAGGGCGATCGTCAGACCGTGACTGTGCCGGTGAAGGTCAAGAAGGAGGATGTGACGGCGATCCGGTGAAGGATTTGGCAGGCCTGCGTCCAGCAGACCTTCCGCAGCTCAGCGCCCGGGAGCTCCAGTGTGATTGTGGCCCCAACAAAGGCATGCGTCTGGCGCGACAGACGGGGCGCGCAATCGCGGCTCCCAGGATGGCGACTTCATCTGGCATGGCGTTGGCTACCCGACTTTTCAGGGCCTCGCGCGCAAAACGGGGCGGCCCAACTTCAAGGACCGCAAGGAGGTCACCATCGACCCGCGTTCGGGGAAAGCTGTGGGGGGGAAGTGGGCAGGTGCTTCGCCGTCGTCGCGATGGCGCCTTCGTCTTGGGATGATCGGAGTTTTGAGGAAGCCGCAGCTGCCGAGGATCGCGTGAGCTTGGCGAGGTCTTCTGTCAGGCAGAGACAGAGGTGCTTGGCCGCCTCTAGGGCTTGGGGTTCAGGGGCGTGGGTGATACTTACTGTAGTCATTTCCATCCACACGAACTAACTCCCTGAAACACTTTTCAAGGAATACACACAAACACAGGCTGAACCCCTAACCCTAAACCCAAAAACCCATGCTAGGAGGAGTGCCTGGAGAGGTCTATAGTGCTGAAGTCGAGACAGGCGCCGCTCCACTGCTGCTATCCATTGCTTGCGTGCAAGCCTTGGACATGATAGTCTTCATGCGGCGGCAGGGGTGATCATCAAGGAGCTCGGCGTCACGCTTCCCATGGTCACGAGGACAGGGCATGTGGCAGTGGAGGTGGCCTTCAACCCGCGTAGTGCACAACAACGCAGACGGGAGCGTCCAATCTTGGCGACGACGTGATGGTGTGCTACTCGGAGGAGGCCTGTCTGCCTTT